CCCCCCCCCCCCCCACAAGCCCTGGCACGACAGTGTTACCACACTAGACACAGAATATCCTGCTCAAAGCTTAGATTGTATGGGACGTCACTCTATCCACATATTTTGCATAGGGCACATCTTCCTCCCCCCTCGGTGTAGTAAGGCACCCCACCAAAGCTTGTCTTTAGCAGTCACGCCACACACCCTTTACAAGATGGGTTCAATTCTGGGCATCTGGAGTCTGCTTTTATCTATTGCAGTAGAGGGTGGGGTGGGTGGAGCCGAAACTTTTCATCATTTGTTCGCATACAGTGTCTTTCCCAAATTCGTATCGGCACCCCTCCCACCCCCCTGCACCCCCTCCCCACCCGCTTGAATGTTCCCACTAGGTTTAGTATCCACGCTGCATGTATACATTGTGTTTATCAACAAAACCATCTTTCGATCGTTTAATTTGAAGGTCTTATAAACCGTCCTCTATCCTAAACAGGATTTGATAAAAAAAGGACAATGACTGAAAGTACAGATTACAGATTATTTGGTCTCGTAAATCATGAACAGTAGGCGCAGAGAAGTGTAGATAAAGTTGGGGAATCACTTCACCAATCTGAGGAATTAATAAAACATCAAGTACATATAATTAACATGATGGAACAGGTGAGGTAGTGTGACGTTTTCACATGGCGTCCGTCACGAGACGACCACCTTGACGTCTCCGTTCACTTTCGCCTACATCAAAGTCAGGTTCTTTAATTTCGTCCGATGATTCATACGGGAAGGTGGCAACAAGACTATCTAAATTCATCAATCCTTCAGTTTAGTACAACAAACATAGTTCTGTGTTCGGAACACACCTTTCGGGCCCGATGTTGTGCTGTATGAAATCCTTTCAAAAGTCATTCAGTTAGCCTCACTAACGCTTGAGACCGGAGCAAAAATTGAGGGCAAATTTCAACATGAAATAAATGTCACATTATATGACCTTTTTGCGTTGGCCTTTTTTCAATTATATTATTTGAAAGAAAATCGACCTCTCAAAGTTCACGCGTTATAAGTTACAGTTGCCAGTCAGTCAGTCGTACAATGTCGATCTGTGTGATAAGAATGCAAAGTACTCGTGCGATAGCTGGGGAAGGCCTTCAAGTGTTGGTACCTTGTACTCGTGTTTTAAGCTAAGTATGAAGGAGAAATCAACCTCACAAATTTCAGGACAATCCGTAGTTGACAGCAAAATCAGCCACTTATAGGCGGCTTGTGTAACCTGGTTGTCATGATAAAATTACTAAGTATACACGATAACCGTGCAAGCAAACTGTTCAAGTTTGGGGATAAGTTTACACCCATTTTTCTCCAGTTCCATTTCTACGACTATAGCTCTTGACTGTCATTGTCCAAAAGTAAACGGTGACGAAGTGGGCAATGTTTCTGTGTCATTCACTCTAGTGGACAACCCAAACAGACAGGGCCCGATTAGTTAAATATGACACTTATTTTCACACCAAACCAATCACTTAATAGAACAGCTAAGTCAAACACAAAGGCTGATCCTTGTCATCATGGCTTTACAGCCTTTTGAAGACTGACATAAGTTGACGGTAAATGTCCCGTCATTCTGGAGTTTTTATTAATCATAATTTACCTGTGATGGACTCTTGTTAAAGCCCACCTTCTTTGATATGGAACACAAGTCACCGCAAGCTTTTGTCACCCATTAAACGGGTCATGGCGTTCCCGCCCAGACGGTTTAAGTGTTCAAACCACGTAACTGATAAGAGAGATAGCGAGCGTTTCAGCTCGCGACGGTTAACACACACCAAATATTAGGTCAATGTTCTGTTTACTAGCGTTCATTCATTTATCCATTTATTTGGAGGCGGTTGGCAGCCAATGTACAGTTGTTAAGCTGGTAAATCTTAAAAGTCTTTTTATTTAACACTTGATGGAACTACGGATGACGTCAGTGAGAATGGGATAGGGGAGTATGGGACCGTGAAACATCGTGGTCGTGTATGTTGTCCCTGTTAGCAGGAAAGGTTAATACCGTTTACCTATCGACCCTTAAACGTCGTTAATCAAACTAACACAACAGTTGTGACGACGTCGTCTGCTCGTGATGAGCGTCTCGCTTGCAAGGTGCTGATGCACCTGAAATACTTTAAGATAAGAACATGGCCGCCAGCTTTTCTGAAAATATATAAAGAAAATATCCTTAAAGTCTGATAATGTACTTCGAGAATTAATATATTTTCTCAAACTGCCATGAAACGATAAGAATGAAATGTATCATATTGCTCAGACACATTTCAATGCAACTTAATGAGTACCTTGAAAACAGTTCCGAAACATTTGGTGCCTAAGAGATCGTATACACTAATACAATATTGAAATTATAATCCGAAGGAGAGTACGTCTAGATATCATAAGATGCAACATTGACATCAACATACATCAGGGATATAGATCGCTTGCAAGCAGGCGTAAAAATCCAACAACAAGTCCCCTTAAACAAGTATGGATTCAGTGTACAGTTACAGCCTAGTGGCCCCCAAGATGGAGAAAATCAATTCAGTGTATCACGTTTTACAATGGGCTCCCCTTTCTTTCTGAACTTTTCAAAAGACACAGCGGTAAACACGATAGCTCGCTAACAACCTCCAGTGCTAGGATGCCAGCTCACAATGCCGGCGATTCTTGGGTTGTTTAAAATATTAGCGTCTCTTTCTTTCACCCTAAATATTAGCACAATAGCGAAGTGACTGTAAATAATGTTGCATGTTCTTTAATAAGTTTATGTCATGTAAGCGTGGGAAATTTCCCTTCCATGTGAAAAAAGGATATGCCAATTATCGATTTTTTTTTCTTATAAATGTATTTATTTCACTGTGACTAGTATTATACTGCAACTTAATGGAGATCGGTTTACCTATAAATATTATTGTCTGGTTAATTTTATTTAAAACGAAAACCTAATATGAAATACAAATTGTATATTTTATTATTTATACCGATTCAGTATTGAATTTTCAAGGAATAAATATTATATAAATGTAATATACAGTATCAAAGTAAAAGCATATGGCAACAATATAATTCCATATATCCTAGAAACCTTTAATGTTTGTGGTTTCGTTTTCACTGTTTGCCATTCATTTTCTGACCTAAAGATGTCTTGATAGCTGTAAAGCATTCACATAGAGCATATACATTGCATTTAATTGTTTCAAATCTAATTTCAGGTTTCCAAGCATTGGCAGCCGCCGCCGCTTTTAAGGCGTACCCCGGACTAATCGGAGCGCAGTATGGGTAAGTACTCTCTAGGGTTAGGAGGTTTGTTTGTTGAAGATAACCTAACACCACGTTATCTATGTTCCTTATGTTGGCAGTTGTATCCTTATGGATATACAGTAAAATTATCGTATTGATAAGATAAGGTCGTTACATTAGACTGGGATGAATCTAACTGGCACACGTCTAGCTTCTGGCTAAATATGATTCACCATTCAAAATTTCTGAGAAAACCGCCAATGGTTTGGTTGTTTTTTAATGTAGAATAAATCGGCTCAAATTAAAAAAAATATGTTAGATTCATCCCAGTTATGTTTATACTACAGTCAAGCCAACCACGTCATCACCCAAAGTGAAATCACGTTGATACGAGATTAAAGCAGTTTCATCAAAACGAGAATGGGTTTGTAGGGAAAATTTAGTCAGATAAAGCATTATTTTACCAAATATCTCACAGGATAGTCTTATCAGTAAGCCATCAAATTACTTGAATTTCTCGGCTAGATAACCGGATTTTTAATACTTGTTATGATTTGAAAAATAATAATTGATGAGTTCACTTGTCCCTCGATGTCTTCCATATATGTTTACTTGAGAAGAGTGGAAGATGTGTCACATTTTGTGTTTTTTGTCATTTAGCTGAGTAAATGCACCTTTAACGTGCAACAACCCGTGGTCGTACGTGAGACGCCCGCCTTGTATCCAACAACCATCAAACAACTTACACTACTGCAAGTTAAGGGGTTGGCGCTAAAACAAAGAATGGTATCTATTATCCACTTTGCTTGCAAAGTTTGGTTTTGTTGTGCGGTCTATATTTATAATACAATCCTTCTCACCTACAGGTCGTGTGGTAGTAGTTTTATATGTATATATATAAAAAAACAAAGTAGAAGTCTGAGGTTTTTGATTCATTCCTCCAAACGGTTTGGTCTGTGTTTTGCTTGCTTGTGTTTGTGGAACGTGATGTTTGGCGGGTGCAGTTACCATGGTTACAGTACTATAAACAACTATGTTACTATAGCAACTCGTGTGCCCTGACCGTCTCCCGTTCACTGACTTTTATAATAATACTTCATTGCTATATGCATTCACATTTTACGTTGCTGCCTTCTTTAGATAAAATTCTTGCTATTCATAGTGAACCCCTCTCTTTCACTGTCTCACAGTCTCTTGATTTTGCTCTATTTTTGGGCTGAGGGTTATTTGTATAAGTGTGGACTCCTCAAGACCCCCTCACAATGTGTCAGATATGGGGCACTTTTCCTGCCAAATTCAACTTTTAAAAACAACTTCTCCTCCTCCATCTACGGTCTAAGTTTTGAATTAATCCCAACTTTAGACTGTTATACTAACACAGTTGAAGTGTTTTATAACCTCATCCATCGATGAGAACGTCGCCCGGCTGAAAAGCGGGACTTGAGTACGAACAAATGCAGTGTCAACGGCCGACTGTTTGGGCTAGTCCCTGGTGAAACTAAAAGTCAATACATTTGAGAGATGGGCAAACAACCGCCGTATGTTAAGTGGGGGATGGGAAGAAGGGGCAACCTGATGGTTAGAATGGCGCCTCGAGGGAGTCAACAGACCACGTGGAGTTTGAAAATTTGTCAGAAAAGTTGGGGATCAAACAAATATGTGGGCTGTTGCTAAGTGGATAGCCGAATAAGTCAATATATATTTAAGTCAAGTAAAGTTTAAGTTAGTGGGAAGGAGTTAAAGGAATGAATTCATAATACAAAATGACACATCTCTATAATCTGTATTAGCCTTACTTGAAACAAATCTCTCGAGTTGAATTTAAAAATGTGTACGTGACAGAAAGGTGGATAATACAAGATCACAGAAGCCCGAATTGATGTCATGTCAAACTTTGTACTGCAAAGAAGCCAACAGTTGGTGAAGTCAGAATATAGAACGGGGCCTTGTAAAAAGTGAGCAAGGCGGTAAAACTTCAGTTTATCGCCAGACGCCAGCATTCGTGACACAAAAGTACAACTTTTCCAATAAACTATTGCCCTTGAAACTGCTACAAAAATTGAAATGAAATCAAACCTCGTTCATAAGTCACATGACCTCGCGTTCAAGCCCATAGAAAACCAGTTCACCTAAACTAAATTGTTAAGAGACCCGTCACAATAGACCGCTTTTCACCGTGTACCGATACCCTGTCGCGCTCCATAGAAAGTCTACCTCCTTCGTCATAGTTCTCCGCTCATATAAGAATTCAATGAAGTTGAAAAGAACCGTTTTCCCCCGTTCATCCACTAAGAGAAAGCGGTTATAATAGCCCCAATGCCCCAATGAGCGCGTTCACTAATCAGGGCACCGAGGTCCCTACAAAGCTTTTCACGGGGTCTAAGATGGTCTTTCTCCTCCGTTAGAGGGTCATTAGGGGTGAGGGGTAACGGGGAGGGGTACAGTAGACTACCCCATGCAGAGTAGCTTAAAGAACGAATTTTTTTTTTTTTTGAAAAACCTCCGTTGACTTTTTAGCCGGGTATTGAAACACCTGTGACGGTTTGTTGCACAACATCGGACAAAGGAGCCTGAAAGAGACTTAGCAACTGTTTTGTCTTCTTAAAGGTGATACAGAGTTTGCTATTCAGTGCTGCCTGTGTGTAGAAAGTCAATAATATATTTAATGAAGACAAACAGATACAGTTAAGATATTACACATTAAGACGGTTTTGTTAAATGTAAATGCAACCTCCGGAATTCGATGCGAAGCTTTACAATCCTGCTGTATAAAAGGGGGTCTGAACTACGCTGTATACAACATTTTGTCAACGTTTGTAGACTCAATTTCAAAAGCTAACATATTATAGGGTACGGTGGGATTAAATAATTTTAACAAGTGGGACGGTGTTAGTAAAAAGTTGGGGTGCAAAGCAAAGCAGAATCACTTATCTCCTCATCCTTCGTGTTCCGCCTTTCGGCAACTTATTATTTATAGTTCACCAACATAGTATTAATTAAAGAAATTACGTATTGATTAGACAAAGATGTATGTTCGGCAATAATTAGCTCTGAATAGGTAAGCTGCTTTCAGGGGTCAAAAAGCGATATTTATATACACATATGTCTGGGCGCGTTCACATCACGCTCATGTTGATCGTTTTTTATGGCGATATCAGTCTGTGTAATAAGCCTCGAGTGGGCAGAGACTGGGGTTTGCGGCCAGGGAGTCCATTCGTCCGTGTAACGCTATTGCTCTCATTGATCCAATTAAGTTAAATAGACAGATGTGTCCCGTCTGTGCAGGCAGAAGGAGAAAGTTGATTGCTGCAGAGATAATCAATTGGAAGTCACGCCTCAAGGGGAACGATGTGCTACTCCAGCGTTTACGAGATGCCAGGTTATGGAGAGACTGTGGATAAATGAATAAAATTGCTCGGCATCGTAATTTCGGTCGACCAAAACGGCAGGTAAAGGGGGACTAATTAAATATAATCTGCCGCCTTAAAAGCTGCAGTTGGTGACACGCAACAACCTTTGGCAACTATCACGAATTATGTAAGATGGCACTGATCGAGAACTATACAAAAACCTGACTGACAAGAAATGATTGTTCGATTTTTTTTTGGCTTTATTCTTTTTAGAAAACTAAGCGCTATTATTCAGAACCAATGCGTTGCACTTTCACTGAAATATATAGACAAAATAAAGCGGGTCCGATGTGAACCCGTTCACGTGGGGGTCGTATTCACTGTGAAAGCATGTAGGGGCTATCTAACGGAAGCCCAGCTGCCATCCCTTTCAAAGCCGTTCTCCAGACGATGTTACCTCTGCTGCCTGGGTCACTGATAACGATGACATTTTAACAAGGTGAAAAACGGTGCAGCGGGCTACAAAGGTGTTGCTACATAGATTATAGCTGGTTTACGCAGATCATATCGCATCCGGCCCCGAAACCGGGATTGCGGGGATTAATGGCGCGTTATACAGTTTGAAAATGGGCGGGCCTTAGTGTTGGAGATAAGAGCCCGGGTGCTGCATAACGGTGGCCTCCTGAAATTAACGTGAACCAAATCGTCACAGGTGTATTGTCACGCATGATTGCAGTTTACGAGAAGGGCGGGTCTTTTTTCGCAGAACACTCGATTCAACAAATGAGTACTCCTCCTACCCCCCCCCCTCCCCCGACACATCCCCTCTCCTCCAGTCTCCGCACGCGCAGCACGAGATGGGGCAACCTCAACTTTCGATCTTATGTCAGGCCCGGTGACACGAGCCATTTAACACTTAATTCACACCAAAACGCACGTACACATCTGCCCTACTCATCTCAATGTTCCTCAGAATAAAACGCAGTGTCTGATCAATTTTTTCCGGACCGCATGACGTATTGGGGTAGCATATCTGTGCACCTGCTCCTGCCCCAAAACGCCCGACCCCGGCCCCCGATCGTCTGCCAACCAGTCACGAGACCACGCTCCTCTGCCAAGTCATTTCCATATGGTACAATTCTAACTAATTATTCCCAAAATATATAATGGTGCGGGTGGTAATAAGTCAGATAGAAGCGTTCCCGTTTTGATGGAAGATGGAAATACTTGGGGATGATGGTCTGTTGGTCTGTTTCGGATTCGTCATGGATCGTCTGCCTCAGCTGTTCCTCGTGCACGCGCGCCAAGCCGTCACTACCGTATTTGTAACTGGCTGTGTGTATTACCTGGGAATGTACAGGCTCCTTGGCTGTTTTCCTGAATCGTTCAAACGCACTATCAGTCTGAAAACGGCAATCATCACCCCCCCCCCCCCCCCCCCCCCACACACAGACAGACAGACACGAATACACGACCCGTAACCGTTTAACTTGTTGTTGCAAAGTTTGTCGAAATTTGGAAGACTTAAAAAGTCATATGGGTATGTGGTAAGGCGATCCTATGTGTTATCAAACTAAGAAATCATTGTATAATTCATGAAAGGCTATAATATATGCTCGGCTGTGAACTTTTGAGCAAGCTGTGGGAGCAGCCAAAATACACTCATTGCAAGCTGCAGTATTTTATTCC